CAGGAATAGATCATAAAGAATTGGTTTCCTGCCCATGTGCAGAAATGGGTCAGCGTGGTTTTTCCTCTGTCTGGTACAATTCTAATATTGTACACGAAATGCGGCCCGAAAACTGAAATCACGATTTAATTAACAGTTACTGTGCTCACCTGGATTTAGATGTAACTATATGGTCATGCTGCTAGGGTTTTTAGGCGGCGGGAAAGACAAAGTTCTGCCAAAACGGCCCGCTCTAACTCCTGCTAGCTGCCCTGAAGTAAAAAAAAATGGCTGGCCGTCTGCTCTCACAGCGGGATCCGGTGTTTGGCCAGGATTTTCCCGCTACGTTGCCGAGTTTGCTAGCCGTATATTTTTTATACGTGAAAGCTCAGGGGAATTAAAAATAGGACAATGGAAAATCCCCAAACAGCAACCGTAGGCTATAACCGGGATATCTCTCAATGCGTCTTATGACGAAAATGAAGTCACTGGGCGCATGTAAGAGAGAAAAATAGAAGGGTCACAAAGGGGTGGTACGTCAGCCAAAAGTATCTTGTCTACTTGAAGCGGCGTCTCGCGACAGTCTCTAATATGGGTACAATCACAATCTGTGTCTGTGCAGATAGTCTGATTTGCCGACTCGAGAACACGCAACATATAAGTGTCTCTATATTAGTGGTGGTTTAAATTGTATTATTAGGACCTTAAAAGATAATTTTTGTGTACCACACGCTAATATTTTTTTTTTAAACAGCTGAAAGTAAAGCTAACTACTGTATTTCTAAATTACTGACAGACTGGCCCCCCCCCCCCCCCCCCCAAAAAAAAAAAAAAAAAACTTGAGAATAGCTGAGGAAACATTATTAAAATAAAAATAATTTTAAAAATACGAATTTTGAAATAATGTTTTAAGCTCAATTAAAATCATGTTTTAATTAAGCTTTCTCAGTTAACAGTGACTGTCATCCCCCCCCCCCCCAATCCACCGACTACTCTCTCCCTCTCTGAAGGATTTGAAATTCATCACCTGACGATTGTTAATTGACGTTGGTATCAGTGTCCACCCAGACTAAAATGAACTAAGCTCTCACAGTTAACATTTTCTTTCACCCCTCCCCTCCCCTTTTTTGTCCCCCCCCCCCCCCCAAATGCACCGACTACTCCTCTTTCCCTTACTGAAGAAATGCCCACATCTCAGCATTTCCATACAATCTGTCAACAACTCTTCGATACCAGAGCCGCCAGCTTCGTGCAGATTTCTGAGTCAACAGTCAAATGTCGCCTATCAGCTTAAATAACAACTTGCGTCGTAAACGCAGCAAAGAAGAAAAATAAATCGGATAATCGGAAAACAAAACCAAGATGCCGATGTGATCGTCGCTGGAGCTATGTGGTTCATGCCTTGTGCAACATTCTTGTATAAAAACAAGCGCGTATTCGAATGCAACGTTGTGTGAAATTGTCAAAGTAATCGGTTACAACATCTCAAATCCATGCGTGAAGAATAAACCAAGTGGTAGAGAATCAACATCGAAAAGACAGTAGTAACATCAATGGGGAGAAAGAAGCAGAAACTCAATTTAGCAATAGATTGCAAAGGAATTAAACAAGCCTCCGATTTTAAATATCTGGGAACAACATTCACCAAAGATGGTAAACTGAATGATTACATTAACATAGAATGCGGTAAAGCAGGCCACGGTCTACTCTATTAGAGCAGGCCAAGTGTTGGGACAGATAGTCCCCCTCCCACCTCCTTCCGTTTTTAAATATCTGGGAACAACATTCACCAAAGATGGTAAACTGAATGATTACATTAACATAGAATGCGGTAAAGCAGGCCACGGTCTACTCTATTAGAGCAGGCCAAGTGTTGGGACAGATAGCCCCCCCCCCCCTTCTTCCGTTTTTTTTCTTTTAGCCCACCCCATTAGGGCATAAGAAAATCCCGATCAGCACAAAGTAACATGGCAAACAATGCATATTCATTTTCACCCGATGCTACCAATGCCAGACATTGTCACTCACAATAAACCAGAACAGAAAAGAATAGAAACCATGGAAAAGCTACAGGAGAAAACAGAAGAGCTAAAATAAGAATCAGGTCACATGAGACAAGTTTGACACCGAAGCTATTCTAACTTAAAAAAAAAAAAAACCGCAAATCAAATGGTTAGCTCAATAAGAGAGAATGCCTTATGACGCCCTACCATTCAAGGCATACACCAAAGGAGGAGATGGATTTGGATCAGGAGGTAGACCAAGAAAAACATGGAAAGATCACATCAGAGAAACTACAACAGTACGATGTGTTTAGGGTCGAGGCGGCCAGAAGAGCAAGAAGCAGGATTTCATATCTTCCACGACGCCTAAAGCGGCAGAAGAAGTTAAGAAGAAGGTGTGTGGTAGTAAACTAATGATTGCCTGCAAATAAACTGATGAAGGTTTAAAGTTCAGGAGGACAAGGTTTTTAATCATGACCACTTTGACCGTGGGTTTGACCCAGCATTAAAAAAAAATCAGTACCTAATAATGACTCTATCATTTAAGATAAAATTCGGTGCTTTTGAAATGAAATGCTAAAGAAAAATTCTTCGAATACCATGGACTATGAAGAAGAAAAACATTTGACATGATTGAGCATCGAGGAGAATTGGCTTGTAAACAGCATCCTGCCTTGAAAGCTGAGGCATTTTGGTCATGTTAAACATCGTGGTGGCCTGGATAAAAAGGTAATGAGGGGTAACGTTTCCGGAAAAAAAGAAGAGGCAAACCACAGCGAACGTGGATAAGTTCTTTTTAGCGTTTACCGGCTGTAAACTCTAGCGGAAATGGTCGGTTATTCGTCCATTTTTGGAGTTTAGTCTTGTTCCAGAACTTTTGCGTTGACGTCCGTTTTACAGATTTTGCTTATTTGTATGCAGTCTGTTGGTTTCTCGCCTCTCAGGCACATGTATTCTGACGTGCACGACATGTTTTTTAGAGAGGCAATGGGTCTATTTCCTCCCTTCTTTCCCCACCCTAGCATAGGGCGCGGAAACCCGCACAGGAATGGCGGATACAAAACATTGAAAATGCATTGACTATGAAAGTTCATAGGGCTGGAAAATGAGCTTGAGAATAAGAGACTTTCAGGCATATCCCGTTAAGAGCTACATTCTGTAAAGAGAGGTCCCAGAAACCGCGTTCAGCCAATAGGCCATATTTATGGCCTAGCTATATTGCGACCCCCGGCAAGAGCCAGAGTGGGGCTTCAAATAACGAAAAATTTCATCCTTAAAAGGACAGTGGATGGTGTTAATAACTAGGCGTTAACTTGCCACCTCCCCTTTATAAAATGACTTGTGAAATCCTAACACTTCTTGTCCCAACAGCGCAAAATAACTGTTTGAAGCAGAAGTTTGCAAACACTCATTGTCATTATGTAGCAGGTCCGTTAGAGAACTTCATCATTATTACAGCCTGTCTGAAAAATATTCGGTGTCTCGCCAGCTCTCCCGTCTAGGGCACTTTCATACTCAAGGGTATTTTGTACCCTGTACGCATCTTCATGCTTGTAGACCCCTGCCTGTCTTTCCCAGCACCATACCTTCCACTGTTCTTTCCAATACACCATGCCGCTTGATGTGGCCAAAATTTTTCAGTTTACAGGACATGATGTTTTTAAACACAAGGCAAGAGATATAGACTAACATATTTCTTTTCCAAAATTAAAACAAAGAAAACACTTTTTTACACAATGATTTTATTTCAGTTAATTTGTCATACATTGACAACGAAAAACAAAATTTCCCTTCCTGTAAAAAGAGTAACAGAACCACAACCGGTCGAATGTTAGTGCTAGAGTAAAACATGCAATGGTTGTCACCTGTATCAATGTAAATACATACGAATTTATCTAGTTTAAATTTACTATTTCTCTAAATACAAGAAGCATATACACATGAATATACACTCTTTGTACCTGTTTCAATCTGTACTTGTTTTCCTCTGTTTCTCTCCATACACCTTTCTCTGTTTCTCTTTTGTACACATAATCTCTCTCTCTCTCTCTCTCTCTCTCTCTCTCTCTCTCTCTCTCTCTCTCTCTCTCTCTCTCTCTGTCAATAAATATATTGATGGATTTTTTGTCTCGCGATACGCTGTGGTTAGCAGTATGAACACCATTTTGGGTTTTTTGTTTTTCAGCGCGATTATAGTAGACACTTTGTGGTGAGTAATGACAAACTACTGAACGTAAATTTGCCTAGAAAAACCACACAATAGCCAGGAGCTGTTGGGGTTGGCTCTGCAACGTCCTGTAAAGGATACGCAACTAACTTTGTGGTGAGTACCGGCATCTGTTTAAACACTTACTAATGAGTACCTGGGCACGTATTTTTCTACCAAAAAAGTTCATATATATATCCGCAGCCGAGCGTCTAGCCGCTAGACCAGGACGGCTCCCTTTTAACGACATTACATGTATATATATATATATAATATATATATATATATATATATATATACATGTAATGTCGTTTAAAGGGAGCCGTCCTGGATATATATATATACATGTAATGTCGTTAAAAGGGAGCCGTCCTGGTCTAGCGGCTAGACGCTCGGCTGCGGATCGGAAGGTCGTGGTTCGGTTCTAGACGATGGCCGAATTTTTTTTTTCTTCAAAAATGACCATGGTTCCTAGGTCGTCCCAGTCTTGAGTGGGTACCAGGTGCAGTACATAGAAGTAAAGGCAGCCGGCGTGATGCTGGCCCCATCACCTATCAAGTGCCGTTTAGTCTATAATAGGTCTAGCCTATTTACTTATTACGCCTAAAAGGCGTGGAAAAGGGTCCTTTACTTTTACCGTCGTTAATGTTAATGGTTCTTATTCAGAAGCTGAAGCTAATGTTCATTTCAGCCATTTGTAGACCATGTGTGTTTTGCATGCAGTCAATTAATATATTTTGAAGAACTAACCATAATCTCGTGAACTTTCTTTACTCACAGCATTCATGTCATACATAAATTTAAATAAATATCTACGCCGGCTGATAATGAATGTGAGGATAGTTTTCTGTGCTTATCTGATGAGCTTTTGATTCATTCCCTTTTTCATTGTTGACATTGTTCTTTGCACCCGATACTTGCCCATTGACAGAGATGCTGTTGGTAAGATGTTCACCTTCTTTACTTTCTCCATTTTGGTTCTCATCAACAGAAACCTGGCCATGCATATTATGGAAATTCTCGTTGCTGTATTCATCTGAGTGTTCTGGTTCTAGAAACCTAGCCAAATCACTAGAGCTCTTGTCACATAACAGGCTTAGAACGTCCAACTTGGCATCTCGCATTTGGCTGTAACTGTCGACTCTCAGGACATGATCTCTGACGGGTTTAGCCACCAGCTTCTCAAGAAAAGCCTCTTCAACTTTGCCAACAGCTACAACAATAATTTTCGTATTGCTGATCTGTAACAGCTTCACTTCTTTTTGAAGCTTCTCCAAGTTCCCTGTCATTTCATCAACAACTAAAACCGCAACCCGGTGCTCAGTAAGTGGAACACTTTTGAACATTTCAGTTCTGAGCTGTCTGACAATGTCTGAGTAGCTTATTGTGTATCCTGCCCTGATGCTTGCCACAGATTTACGAGACTCGGCGACACTCTGTAGCCAAGAACCGCCTCCAGTGCAAGGCTGGGTCAGTATACCCACCTTGATATGCGAAGCAGTGATTGCAATGTCGTTGACGAAATCTGTAATGAGTTCTTGTACAATAACTTTTGATGATTCAATGGAGTGGAAGTTGTCGTATACAAACACAACGTTAGAGGCCAATGTGGAGCACTCTGGAAATAGAGAAAAATGAAAATCTTAACATACACGCTACATCTATCAACACGTAGACATATTTGATTCCCAGTGCGGTATCAATAGCTATGCTATTCAGGGTATCATTCTATCTCTTTCTGTCCTTGCATCTATGAGCTCCTGTCAATCTATCTTCTGCGTTCGTCCCTAGATGTAATTGCGTTGTGCCCATTTACAGCATGGCTGTGATATCCGTGCCTTTCGACCGACACATCCGACTTCTGCAAGCGTTTGTTGACCAAGTTGGCGTTCCCAATGCATGTAACTGCTGAACATTCAATTTTGTTTGTTTAAACTATGGCTTTAAAGAACCTTATTGTAAACACGAATAGAGCATTTTATGAGTGTTATAGCCTATGTCACAAGGGTCATTTGTACTTTCTAGAATATACCCTGCTACCTATTTTAGACCAGGGACACAATGAAACCAGAAAATGAAAGAAAAAAAAACCTACTAGATAAAAGGTTTGAGTGTCCTTATTTTGTCCCTGAACGCCTGTAACAAACCCTACCATTTATTTTCCGCCGTGTAGTTTTACTTGGCATTTTACGTGACATGTGATACCATTGGCATTTACCATTCCATCTATATTTTTTTTAGGGGGGGGGGGTGGGGAGTCTTATTCAACCAGCATCCCCAGGGAGGAGCTTTAGGTTATACTTGTGACTAGGTTATGTGTACGGTATAAAATGACTCAAAACTGCACGCCGCCAAGAGCCATGAAAAGGACTCCTGTAGTGTTGATGCGATCGAAGGAGACAGACCAAAAAACGAGCCTGCCGGCGAGCCAATGAGTGACCAGGTCGCCGACATGTTGGGCAGATAAGCAACATACCTACAGCAATAGAGATCACTTGTGATGGCTTATGCGGCAACAATGACACGTATAGGATTATACATACATACATACATACATACATACATACATACATACATACATACATACATACATACATACATACATACATACATACATACATACATACATACAAACGTACGTACGTACGTACGTACGTACGTACATACATACACACACACACACACATACATACACACACACACACACACACACATACATACATACATACATACATACATACATACATACATACATACATACATACATACATACATACATACATACATACATACATACATACATACATACATACATACATACATACATACATACATACATACATACATACATACATACATACATACATACATACATACATACATACATACATACATACATACATACATACATACATACATACATACATACATACATACATACATACATACATACATACATACATACATACATACATACATACATACATACATACATACATACATACATACATACATACATACATACATACATACATACATACATACATACATACATACATACATACATACATACATACATACATACATACATACATAAACACACACATACACACAAACGGGGAGTCGCCATGGTGTATCGGCTAGATGCTCTCGAGGGATATGGAGATCGTGGGTTCAAATCAAAACGGAGCCGGACTATTTTTTCTTTAGAAATTAACTTGGCTGCCAGGTTGACCCAGCTTTTAATTCAGGTAAAGTCCTGGGAAGTAAAGGCGACCGGTGTAGTGTTGACCACACCTACTTAATACCGACTGGTCTATCGATTATATATGGCACTGTACAGCCAATACCCCTGAATACGTTGAAAGCTTCTTTTATTTCAATATATATATATATATATATATATATATATATATATATATATATATATATATATATATATATATATATATCTGATGCCGTCTCCATAGTAAAGGTTGACTGCAATGTGCTCCAACATGCTCTATCTCTTGTCCTGGTTGTACCCTCTCTCAGACTGCTGCCTGTCCATCTCCTGATATTGTCCTCCCACTTGTATCTTGCACCCCTTTTGCTCTTTGTTTTTCGATCTTTCCCTCCAGTATGGTTTTTAAATGCATGTTGTGTCTTTTACTGAGGCCAGATGATTTCGTCTGTCTTTTAAAAGTCTTTTAGTTTAAGTATATGTATGTGTTTGAGTAAATATGTGTGTGTGTAAATATGTGTGTGTGTAAATATGTGTGTGTGTAAATATATGTGTGTATGTATGTGTGTATGTGTTTGTGTGTGTACCAAGGACATTTAGAAGAAGAACCCTTAATACCAGACACGTACACTAAAACAAGTGCTTACTTGCAAGTTGTTGTGGTCTGTTTCTGTCATCCCTAGGAGGCTTAGACAAAGCCTCGCACGTCTTCAGAGCCAGAAGGTTAGTGACAGAGGACAGTGCCTTGAAGTCATCAACACTAAACACAAAGTCCTCGTCTGGGTCGCTGGAAATGTCCGACAGCTCCTGTGGATCAACTTCTTGTCCCACGCCAATAGCGAACATGTACACTCCTTTCCGTCTGGCCTCTTCAGCTGCTTTGGCCGTTTTCTTTGGTTCCTGTGAGAGTCCGTCAGTGACAGTGACAATTATCTGAGCCACTCCCTTCCTGGCCTCACCAGCACCGAAACCGATGTCGGCGACATACTTGATTGCTTCCCCTGTGTTGGTGCCGCCAGTCAGGTATTCAACATGCTCTGGTTGGACTGCAGCCAGCAGGGCGTTGATGTTTTCATGCTCCGACAGACCGAATTCATGATGGACCTGAAAGATCAGAAAGATGCCAGTTAACAAAAGAAGAAACTCGCTAGTAATTAATAACATATACTAATTGAAACCTTTGTATTATATTCGCGAAATGCGAAATAAAGGATCATTTTTTTTACTCGTTTAGACGCGTTGGGTTTATAGTGCTGTTCGTTGAGGTCCCATTATAGGACGTAATGTTATGTTATTTTAAAGCCCCACCCCGGCTGTTGTTGGGAGATCTAACATAACCGAACGGTTTTAAGGGGTTTATGTGACCTGCACCCGGGTGATTTCCATCCAAATGGTGGCACTTTTTGTAACCGGGTGTGTGTCCCTCGATGTGCCCTGCCTTGAGTCAGTACCAGGTGCAAACACTGGAAACTAAAGGCGGCCAGAGTAATGCTATCTACATCACACACCAAGTGCCCATTGGTCTATAAAATATAGGTCTAACCCTATATGCCCAGTACACCTATATGTGTGGAAAAGGGCCCTTTACTACTTTGCTTCTTACTACAGAGAAATTATTACTTTAGAGTTAATCCACCTTGAAAACTTACATTGTTAGAATAAGTGACAAGACCAACTCTCGTGTGTAGAGGCGAAATGTGGAAGGACGATACCAGGTCCCTGACGAAAGGCAGAACCATATCATGAAAGTGACCGACCCAAACGGAAGAAGATGCGTCCAGCAAGAAGTAGATGTCTGCTGGCTTCCCCTTGCATCCTGGAATGTCAATAGAACATGAAAGAATAATTATGTGCCTTTGATGATGTTTCTCTCTCTCTCTCTCTCTCTCTCTCTCTCTCTCTCTCTCTCTCTCTCTCTCTCTCTCACTCCCCCCCCCCTCCCTCTGTCGGTTTCTCCCCCATGTCGCTAACTTGCGCCAAAGGCCTCCGAGTGCAGTTTTTGCGAGTTTTCAACTAGACCCATTGTTCAGCTTTCTCTGCTGTTTTAAGCAGTCTCTCTTGGTCTTCCATGTACTACAGCATTTTTTTTCTTCATTTTATTGTTCGAAGAGATTGCAATGTTCAGATACGATTTTCAGGAAAAATGATTTTTTACCTAAAAAACTTTGGCATGTTACCAACAATATATATATATATATAAACACTCACACTCGGTCTCAGCTGCATCCGATTTGGCAGCAGACTGCGCCTTGTGTTAGTTTTGGTATTAATTTCTTGCAGATATCTTCATTACTGTTTTTATCTGTCTATGGTGTGCAAACCTTTCGTCTATAAAACCACATGTGTGATGCTTCCACATAATTTCTCACTAGTCGCTTAACTGTGAAAGATTCCTAGTAACTTACCTGGTTCAACAACTGGCTGATCTTTTGGATCCTCTGTCGATGTTGTAAAAACTGGCTTCTTTGTTGTGTGTTTAGGAGTAGGTCTGGTGGTGGTAGTTGTTTCTGTTGTAGTAGATGTTGTTGGTGCTGCTGTTATGGTTGTTGTAGTAGTAGTAGATGTCGTTGTTGTTGGTTTCATTGTGGTTGTCGGCGAAACGGTGGTTGAAGTCAACACTGGAAGGCAAGAGACACATAATATATGATTATTTCTCAATAGCATCTGTCTTTCTTCTTTCTTCCCTTTTCCTTTCTCCCCTCTCTTTCTCTCTCTCTCTCTCTCTCTCTCTCTCTCTCTCTCTCTCTCTCTCTCTCTCTCTCTCTCTCTCGTTCTCTCCTCCATCTTCCTTATCAATTTTCTGTAGAATCTGAATCATAAATTAGGACTTCAAGGAGGCTAAGAACTGGTCACCTCACCAGGTGACGAGATGAATTAGAAACAAACATCGCAACTCAAGTGCCCACTGGGCACTCACCGGGGAGACTCACTAGCACAGAGACCCCATACTAATATAGTATGTCTAATGACTTTACTTATGACTGTTCTGTGAAAAGAAATACCGCAAATCTAGTTTTAATAAGTTCATAGCAATTTCATTCTCTGGCATCAAATCTATGTTTATGTTTTAACTCTAGTTGTATTGAAGTGCCAATAAAATAAATATATCCTTAATATTGTTGACCAATTATTTTTCATTCCTGTGAGTGACTGTTGTAGGAGCCCGTACACATTGTTGGTTTGCCCATGGGCCCATAATGCTGTTAAAACGGCCCTGTCTGAAGGCTAGTGGGAATCACTGTGAGCACCTGCATTAATTTCATAAATCACGTGTCTGAATAACCTTATTAAGTATCTAAATGTTTATTCTGGTTGTTTTCTTAAAAACTCCCAGCAACTCCTTGCTACCGTAATGTATTCAAAGACCGCAAGTATCGTACATGTAGATACATTTGACGGTGCTTTATTAATATCTTACCCCAAACATAGGAAACTCGTAGGTCACGGAACAGTCTAATATTTCAGGAAGTGGTTGATAGGCTGAATGCAGTCGCGAGACCTGGGCAGCACACTGTCGTGGGACGTAGGTGGGTTAGTGTTAGGGCCAGTTCTAGGTATTTTGGGGTCGTTAAAAGCATCAGAAAGCCAGGAAAAGCAGTCTTACCACCCTCTAAAATGCTGGACTGTCCTGTGACGTCATCTTGGGGTTGGATATTAATAAAGCACCCATTTGACTGCTGGACGACTATTGAGTTAATATGTTTTTGGCTCAACTGATGACGTAAATAGTGGTGACTGCAAGAAATGCTAAATATAACATGAAATGTGACTTGAAAGCTCAACGGAGAGAATGGAAAAGACTCAGACAAGCAACTAAAGTGATGACGTAAATAGGGGGTGAATTTGTTGGCTATCTCTGTATAGTCACAAACAAGTATTCATCATCATCAATTCTTTTTATGCCTAGGGGCACATGAGGCTTCATGGAGGACTTTCCATGCTTTCCTGCCCTGTGCAATCTTCGGTGCAGTTTTCCATGTCAGAGATGCCGCACTCAGGTCACTGGTTACTTTACATTGATCGTCTCCATTTTGTTGTTGGACGTCCCTTCTTTCTTTTTCCCCTCTGGTATCCACGTGAGAGCTGTTTTGGCAGGTATATTCGGATTCATACTCATAACGGGGCCAATCCATTTCCATCTCCTCTTGGTAGTCATACTGTCTAGAGTTTCTTGGTTTGTGACTTGAAGTTGTTTAGTTTGGTTTGTGACTTGAAGTAGTTTAGTGTTTGAGATACAAACAAGTATTTCAGAAAATGAAGAACCTTCACTTACCCTGGCATGTGCTCTGAGCGAATACATTTTTGATGCTGTCTAAAGCACGGTAGTCGGTGACTGAGAAAACGAACTGCTCTGTTGGCATGGATGCCACAGCGTTGAGTTCTTGGAAGTCTACACCTTTGCCCACGCCAATAGCAAAAACGTCAGCACCTGTTTAAGAGAGACAATGTTGGTCATAATTCACTTTTCAACCTTCAAACGAGATACAGTTTGTCTGAATTATTCACCTTTTGTAAATTTCTAGACAAGACAATCATTATCATCTCTATCATAACCTTCATCCTCATCATCATCATCATCATTCAATCATTAACACTTTCACCATCCTCCCCATCACCACCACCATCATTATCGTCATCATCACCATCATGACAACCATCATTGTCGTCGTCATCCTCATCATCAGAAGCACCACAATCTTAACCATCACCATCACTACAACGACCACCATAGTCGTCGTCATCATCATCATCATTACCATCATAATTGCAATCGTTATTATCACCACAATCAGCATCATCAACTTCAGTTATTACCGTTAAGCGTCGTCTTTTGCAGTTCAGCACTTGATGCGTGGCTCTGTCCATTGCCCTTTAAAGTAAATAAACTATGACCCTAAGATGTGATCTCATCATTCGTCTACAAAACAATATCCCGACAGCTGCCACATAACTTCTCCCTGGCATGATTTGCTTCCATACAACTAGATCACTTAATACTATTAACAAAGTGAAATGGCTTCCTAAATTTATTGGAACAACAACCCACCAAGATTCTTGATGGCTGTGGCGCTATCGGCCGTTTTCTTGGAGTCGGCAGATTTTCCGTCGGTGAGCACAACAACCACTTTGTTAACATCGTCTCTGGCACCGTACTTTTGGGTCAGCATCACTTTGGATGCGTAGTCCAGGGCTCTGTGTGTGTAAGTATCGCCTCCACGAAATCTAATGTTGTCAACTGCTTTGAGTACTTCTTCAACAGTCTGAAAAGATGCACATATACTATATATATATATATAATGTTGCCAACTGCTTTAGGCACATATTTAACTGTCTGAAAATGGTATGTGTGTGTATGTCATACATATGTGTAACCTACCCCCACCCCCCCCCCCCCCACACACACACAACGTTACACCTACAAATACACAAACTTGTCACAAGCAAGAACCCAGGAAGACTGCCATGAGGATTACATTTTAAAATTTTAGTTGCACAACTTATCCAATCCTATAAATTCACATTTGTGACGGCCTATGTTTGAATATGAGAATAATGGAAGAAGAAGAAGAAGAAGAAGAAGAAGAAGAAGAAGAAGAAGAAGAAGAAGAAGAAGAAGAAGAAGAAGAAGAAGAAGAAGAAGAAGAAGAAGAAGAAGAAGAAGAAGAAGAAAAAGAAGAAGATGACGATGATGACGATGTTGAAGTAGAAGTAGCAGAAGAAGAAAAAGAAGGAGAAAAGATAGAAGAAGAAGAAGAAGAAGAAGAAGAAGAAGAAGAAGAAGAAGAAGAAGAAGAAGAAGAAGAAGAAGAAGAAGAAGAAGAAGAAGAAGAAGAAGAAGAAGAAGAAGAAGAAGTAGAAGAAGAAACAGAAGAAGAAGAAGAAGAAGAAGAAGAAGAAGAAGAAGAAGAAGAAGAAGAAGAAGAAGAAGAAGAAGAAGAAGAAGAAGAAGAAGAAGAAGAAGAAGAAGAAGAAGAAGAAGAAGAAGAAGAAGAAAAAGAAGAAGAAGAAAAAAAAAGAAGAAGAAGAAGAAGAAGAAGAAGAAGAAGAAGAAGAAGAAGAAGAAGAAGATTACGACGACAAAGAGGACGAAAAAAGAAGAAAGAAAGAAAGAAAAAAACAAAGAAAGAAAGAAAAAAATAAAGAAAAAGAAAACCACCAACCTTGTATCTGTTAAGATGGAACTCAAGGTGCTCTCTTGTGCTAAACGTCAAAACTCCCACTCTAGAGTCCAAAGGATTGGGCCCTATTTTAAACGTTTTTATGACATCCTTCAGGAACGATTTGATATCACCATAGTAACCAGGCCAAATAGAGGAAGACGTGTCTACTATAAACAAAATGTCGGCTGCATGGCTGCACTCAACTTTAGACTCGACTGGCAGTCCGTTGTTTGCCTGGTGATTGAGACAAGAGGAAATACATTAATAAAGTAATAAATAAAGATCCATTTACACGTCAGAGGCGCAGCGGGCATTTGAGACTAGACTATAACTGTTACAAATCTCGATGGGTATTTGATCGACATCACGCCAACCACCTCTGCTTCCCCAAAAGTTTGAAGTTTGACAACGGACCAACAGCATCGCACACGGTTAGCAACCCATAAGTGCTCCGTTCTTCTTCTAACTTAAGTCTGAGTCCAAAGAAGCTCAGCACAGTGCACAGGCTCTGTAGAACCGGCGAGGATCCTGAAATACTTTGGATAGATTTTTAATTCAAAATTTTTGCCTGTGCAGCGCCGTTAGGCTTCTCTTTTCGATGTCCACAACGTGCACAACAATGCACACGGACGTCCGATCTCACTAACCAGAGACCAGGGGAAATAACTAGAAGTCCAAGTCCACGTGAAGAAATCCCAGCCCTTACTGGGGATTGAACCCGGAACCTCCAGCAGTCGAAGCGGACACCATGCCTGGAGACCGCACAGCCTCCATGCTTCCCATAAATTTACATAGTACCCGTTTAAGGCTGGATAGACCTGGGACCCAAGGCCGTGTTAAAAAAAAACACGCGGATTTGAACCGATGACCTATGGATCCGCTGGGTCGCATCCAGCAGCTAGACCTCGGCGGCTGAGAAGACACATTAACTGTTTATATTTTAATAAAATCTACAGTTCACATCTTTGTACGATTATTTGACATGTCTGGATTCATATACATGTTTCAAAATAAAATTAGATTTCGCCTCTCCAGCAACTGTAGCTTCTGTCTTCAACTTTCATCTTAGACTTTATCCATTTATTTCCCAATTTAGTGCTTGTTTAGTAAATTTTATTATGAAACAGAAATATGATTACTGAAATCTGATGGAAGCAGTTCTATGGGATAGATAAATGAATGAATATAACAGTTTTCTGTAAAAAAGCAAGAACTGAAGTATCCCATGAAGACTGGAAAGTTAACAAGAAAGAGATCCAGAATGCGCCTAAAAGAAAAAGTGGACACTTTTGTATCATTGCTTGGAAACACATTTGTATCCCAAATTATTGACATTAGACGTGACAGAAGGTTGTGGAGAGAAACGACTGCTGGCGACGTATGAGATGGATTTGAAGCAGAAGAAAACTAAATGCACTGACTAATCATTTTATCACTTTGTAAACATTGAAGACTTACCGGCGAAAGTGACATCAGCAAAAGAGCTGATAACATTAACTTCATCCACATCGTTGCTATCTGGAGGAGACTTCAAACACAGTGTTGGCAAGAAAAGTCAGAACGATGTACTTCCACTCAATAACTGTTGCGTGAATAGTCAAACAGATCGTATTTGTGGCTTCCAGTTGTTTTTTTTTTTTATTACTAACTGCTCAAGACTGTCAGCTTGCCAGGATCACTGCTGTTTCAGCTGTTGATTCATTGAAGAAAAACGGCCGGCTTTTATCCGTTCAGACCGCCTCCTTTTTCAAGTGGGCAGACAGGGATTGGTCCCGAAATGTCAATCCTTGAAATATTCCCACGATGGCTAGTTACTAGCTTTGATGACAACAGTTTGCTCATACAGAGGGTTCATTGTGACGCAAGAAAGTTAACTACTTCATCTACACGTCATAACCTGTGGGTTGTTGGGCACGTCTAGTTGTACTTGGTATAGTTTCAGATGTTGGTCTGTATTCATAAAATGGAAAGTAATGACAAGCAAGAATTTTAGTAGTGCACAAAAAAGCTAAGCGAATATAAGAAATGTGAGTAAAGTAATAGACCCCTTTCCACGCCTTTTAGGGCGTACTGGGTGTATAGGGCTAGACCTATATTTTATAGATCGAACGACACTTGGTGGGTGATGTGGTCAGCATTACGCCTACCGCCTTTACTTCCCAGGACCATAACGGATACCCACTCAAGGCTGGGTCGATCTGGGAGTCAAGGTCATTTTGGAAAAAAGTCGGGCTTCCGTCAGGAACCGAACCCATTACCCTCCGATCCGCAAGCGAGCGTCCAGCAGCTAGACCACGGCGTCTCCTAGAAAACACGTAGGACACTGAAAATAAATAACAGCAACAATTGTAGGACATCTATCTAAGGAAGGGGAGACATTTCGAGAACTTGTAAGAGCAAAGTTCCGTACTGGACAAACTATCCAAACAAATGGTGGTAATAAAGTTAATGACGATGATGATGGTAACAATGATAATGATGACTATCAGAAGTATTGTAAATAAGAAACGATCAGAGTGCACACTACATAATAATTCATAAAAACATACAGATCATACATGGGAATGGCCCGAGTGCTGTCATGTCAATTCTTGACTCAACTCAACTCATAAAACAAATGAAAGCAAATGAAAGAGATCGATACATCAGGATTCGACTCTTTCACCCCACAAAGGATCACTATATGAGATGCAATAACTGACTGAAGGTAAATGTCGATACAAGTTATTTACTGTTACCGTTACTCTGTCACTTGGTTCTGATTCAGTAAAAAATTGCAAATGTCGACAGTGCTTCGATGAAGAATTATGACCAAGATAACTTCTGTAGGAAATATTAGTATCCATAATGGTGACAAAATACGAGGACTATTCCAAAATCTATCTACTATTGGCTGGTAAAAATAAACCGTTTGCCATAGCGACACCGTTCATTGCTTGCATCACTCAGCAGTCCATTAGCTCACTAAAGATTAGTTGCATATCCTTTACGGGACGTTGCAGAACCAACCCCAACAGGCCCTGGCTGTTGTGTAGTTTTTGAAGACAAATATGTGTCCAGTAGTTTGTCATTCCTCTGGACGGTCGGCTTTCTTGATACCGCTGTCGAAACCAACGCAAGGCGCATGACCCGCTGCTGGGATCGAACCAGGCATCCAGGCATTACGAAGCTCACTAAACAATATAATAACCAGATAAACTCCATAGGGGTGCATTCACAGCAGGGGTCCACCGTCATAAATAGAGAGATCCTTCATTGACAATTGTTTCGTTCAATTACTTCCCTAGATAATCTCAGAAAGTGGGTCCCACCTGGAATGACCCAAGGCCTCGATCTTCCCCTGCTGCACTTTATCGGACTCGACAGGGACAAGACGATAAAGTGACTTTGCAACAGGTGTTGTGGAATCGGTGTTATATTGTCGTCGCAGTAGCATATTAGATCAGTCGACTACCTTAACGACCAGAGTGACAAGTTAACGATTGGTTCATCTGACAGACTTTGTCATTTGGCGTTAGACTTTGGTAATTGGCAGAGAGACACTGGCAGACATGTATCGAACATTTTGGCTTTTAAGGGATAAGGAGCTCCTCTCCCCTAGAAGCTCATACCAGTCTACCGAGGCACATTCCCCACGACATTCCGTTACCTCGAAAGCCAGCTCAAAGCTCTTTGAGCAGCTTAGCCCAGTTGTTTCAGTGACCGTTATTACACTTAACTACAGTCACAAGTGTTTAGTCTTTCCTGAACCACGAACGAAAAAGCACGGACAACCCACATGCGTGGGGTGATTCGTTTTCTTCAAACAGAAGGCCAAAATGCTCAGCTCTGACGTAGTAATCAGTAGTAGATCTTCATTTCTCTCACTGCGACTAAACATTTATTAGTATTAGACTTTCAAGCCTCACATTGCAACTAAATGCTCATCAGAGGTAAACATTCACGTTTCTTTCTGCGGCCATACATTTGGAATTTAAAGACACTTATGTTTAATATTACGATAAAACATCAATCAGTAGCTGACCTTCATGACCTTCAAGATTAAACTTTCGTCAGAAGTAAGCCTTCCTGTCTCACATGCGACGAAACCTCCTTTGTCAGAGCATGTCACACCACAACCAAACATGGATCTAAAATGAATCTTCATGGCTCAAAAGGCGACCAAACATATGACAGTATCAAGCCTTCATGCCTCACAATGTGACCAAAAATATGACAGTAGTATATCTTCATGCCTCTCCATGTGATCAAACATATGACAGTAGCAAACTTCCATGTTTCAAAATGCGACGAAACATATGTCAGTAGCAAACCGTCATGTCTTACGTCGCGTCCAAACATTTATCCGAAGTAAACCTTCATGTTTCACATCGCGAAAAAACATTTGTCACTACTAGATCTTCATGCCTCACAATGCGACCAAACAATTGTCAGTAGCAGATCTTCATGTCTCACAATGCGACCAAACATTTATCAGTAGTGGATCTTCATGTCTAACAATAGTATAAAACATTTGTCAGTACCAGATCTTCATGTCTCACAATGGGATAAAACATATGCGACCAAACAATTGTCAGTAGCAGATCTTCATGTCTCACAATGCAACAAAACATCTATCAGTAGCAGATCTTCATGTCTCGCGATGCGACCAAACATTTGTCAGAACTGGATCTTCATGTCTCACAATGCGACCAAACATTTCTCTGTACTAGATCTCCATGTCTCACAATGAGACCAAATATTTTTCTGTACTAGATATCCATGTCTCACATCACGCCTTAACTGTTATCACCCACATGTCTCATACTGACTTAAATATGCATTACATAAAATAATCGTTCACTTGTAAAATGTTTCTTTGTTTCTGCTAAAGTCGCAACTAACAAATAATATATATTCAGATACGGTTAGACATTCACTCTAGCGTACAAAGAGAGAGATACATTAGGCGTGACAGATTTTGGCAGAAAATGAAAGGGGTCTGCTTGGAAAACTTAACATCTACGGAAAGTAGTAGCCCCACGAGGGGAGGCGAGGGGAGGTGGGAAGTGAAGGAGAGAGAGAGGGAGAGAGATAGGAAGAGAGAGAGAGAGAGAGAGAGAGATGGAAAGGGGGGGGGGGGAGTGCCCTGCCTCCTGGCCTAGGCGCTCATACATCTCCACCGAATTAAGCAGGGAGTGCAGAAAGTGACCAGCGGGGGCTACTGAGGTGGAATTCCAACAGTTAATTCACGACAATTCTCGCCCTGATCTGATTATCTACACAGATGGTTCTATTTTGAGAGGAAAGAGAAGTGCCTGGGGTTTCGTAGCGAAAGCCAATGGAAAATCTTTAATGCAGGACAGCCTGGCATATGACACCACAACATCTAGCATGAAAATGGAGGTGGAGGCTAGATAACAAGATACATACACATGTGGTAATTGTAACAGACCCAGAGCGCATGCTGAAAAAAAGGTGAAGACAGGATTGCTTCAAGCTGAATGGTAAGTTTCATTTGCAATGTCACTGGTATTAAGCATACTTTAGATCTTTTCTCCAGGGTATGCCAGCCTGGTGGGGGAATGAACAGGCAGACAGACTGACTGGATCTGCACCGCTGGGTGATAAATTGATGCATTACATGGCAGATGTGGTCAGAGCCTATTGGAAACAAGTAACGAGGTCAGAAGAGAAACTAGATTATTGTAGGCTGGAGAGAATGATGCATCTGGGTGTGACTAGAAGGTTCGGCAAGCACACTAAACTAAGAGGAAAGGCCAGACGGACATACAACCAGACTACGACCGGTACCATTAGTATTGGAACTCTGCGCTTGTGCCGAGGATGGGGCCGGAGCGCGTATGGGAATGCCCCGAGTGCTGTGATGTCAATTATGGACTCAACGCATCTCTACAGATCACGATCCCTGGTTGCCTGGAACAGCTCTCTTGATGATATCCTCCGTGCCATCGTTTCAGCCCATCCAGCATCATCTCTCTTGGTCTGCCTCTACTCCTTTTCCCCACTGATCTTTCCAGTTGTCACGATGTTTTCCATTGTCTTACTTCTCATTATGTGCCCAAAGAACAGTGTCATTTTCCTTTTTATTGTTGTATATAAAGATCAACTTGCATTAGCTTCTTTTAAAAAATCATTGTTAGTTACTCTGGTCGTCCAAGGTATTCGTAACATTCGTCTCAGAAACCACATCTTTCTTTTAAAAAATCATTGTTAGTTACTCTGGTCGTCCAAGGTATTCGTAACATTCGTCTCAGAAACCACATCTTTGTTGGTTCATTATTCTTCTTAATTTGTTTACTGAAATTCCAAGACCTGCTAGCATACAGCAGAACAGCTTCTATGCAACATTTTAGCACTCGCTTTCTGACATTAATTGAAAGCGACTTATTTGCATATTTTTTATTATCTGAAATGCTGCCTTCGCCTGACGTATTCAGCTTTTAATCTATGTCACACATTTTCCATCTGATGATATGATTGTTCCCAGATATTTGAATTTGTTGACT